CTGTGAGCCTTGGGACTTAAAGAACTCCATTTTTGTTCTCTTTGAGTTTTGGATAAACTGGAATATGGTGTCGCAAACTCACAGATGAGACCAGTGCTGGCATGTCTCTTACACTGGGGGGGACTTGGGGACATTTTTGCTGTCACTTCATAGCTAAAATGTGAGCCTAGTGGCCAAGGCGTATAATTCCTAGTTTCTCCCAATATCCCCACTAGGTGATCACCAGATCACAAACGAGAATTTAAACGCTTCTGGTTGATAAGACACAAAGTGGTAAGATATACAGGTATGATTCATCAGTTTCAACTTCCTAGAATCTAGAAGCTTATGAAGTTTAGGGATAGTGCATCTCCAAAGATGAAGGGATTCCTAACCGTGGTGTTTAGCCATAAATACCTACTCTACCCAACTCATTTTAAAATCACTAGGATATTTTGGAAAGTTAGAAACAAGTCAGAAATTCTGCAGCAGCTAAATAGTGGAAGAAAACTCAGTGAAGGGAAGCATTCTCAGGGATTTGGGGATTTTCCAAATGCCAGGAATTAAACTCGGCAAATTCACATGCAGTGAATGGCCTGACCTGCAGGGCAAGGTGTGTAGGGAATTAAATTCGGAGCTGTTGCCTCCCTTTGAGGCAGAGACGAGCTGGAGGTTGTTGAGTACCAAAACAGAGCTGTGGTAACAGGCAAACAGGACACCTCATTCTCATGTGGCTAACTCAGAAGCCTGGCACTTCCAATGAAGCATGACGGGAAAACCCAGAGTGTGAGATTCCAAATGGTGCAGCAAGGAAAGAAAAGACAATGAAGTATTAGTGCAGAGAAAACCAGAAGACTACATAGGCACAGTGCACACCCACAAAAGAGAGAAATGAGACAAGACTTGAAGGCAGATTCAGGGAGACAAGGAAGAAGCTTTGGCCAAAAGGCAGAGAAGAAACCCACTGGTCAGGCTGGGAGGCAGAGACATGCGGAGGACCGAAGACTCAGCTGCCGCCCCTATCGGTCAGCAGTCAGGTGGTGAGGTGGCTCCCCCAGTGCTGGGGGTGTCTTCAGGGCACCTGCAGTTGCTGGGTTCTGGAGCCCTAGGAGTGAACAAAAATGGCCTAGGTCTACTTAAGTGGTGTGGCAGCCTTGAGACTGGGTCCAGGACATCCGTCCTTAACTCATCTGCTTCTGCCCTGGAGCTCCATGCCTCAGGGGGCAGAGGATGGGAGCGGCACACCCAGCCGTCTTCTCACTCTTGAAAATGTCACCCATCATCAAGAAGAAAGAAATTCGAGAAGCAACTGAGGCTGAAGGCATGGGTGCTGGGGAGCTCGAAGGACAGGAGGCAGCCAGATGAGGGACTCTGATGGGGACAGACCGCAGCAGCTTTTTCCCAGGCCTGATTCCAGCTCCACTTACTGCTCTTGAGGGGGAATGAAATGAAGGAAGAGAAATGAATAATGTCAGTCACAAGTGGAGCAGCCCATGAGCGACATCTTTCCCCCTCTGGAAAGTCGCTAAAGGAAGTACCATTCTAAGTCCCTCTCCCAACGCAGCTGCGGGTCAGCAGCTGTGCGGGGAGAATCACATGGCTCCTCCCCAGGGAAGAGGACAGCTCCAAGCAGGCCAGATGAATCCTGTGACCTAGCCCTGGTGGAACTTTCAGATTGGGAGAGGGCAGATCTGTACTAGCCTCAGACACATCTGGACACTGTCACACACTCAGGAGAATAAACCAGATAGTGCCATTTTGGGAATAGTCTTTGGCCTAGAAGCAATGCTCACTCATTAACTGAAAAGCCAGCATCCAGAGATGTTCTTGGATTAACAATAGAATATCCCTGAAGGGCTAAGGATGGAGACTGTTATATCCATTTCTTAGTAGAAGTCAGCCTTGCCACCAACCTCCTTTCCACCGCATTCCTCAGCTGCAGTGAATCAAATGGAGGGCATAGAGAGGGAGGACCGGGGTTTAGGTCTGCTGGTGGGGACACAGTACCAAGATCACAGGAAAGAGGGAAACCCAGGAGCTCAGCTCTGGGAGGACCAGACCTGGAGCCTGGATGGAAAGGAAGTGACTAAAAGGAAGTGGAGATATGTATGAATGCAAAGCTGAATCTATAAGGAGAAAGCATCCTTGAAGGAGTGGTGGATGATTTCCAGGTCCTCAAGCCACTTTTATAGCATTCACATTCGCAATTCATATTTTCTTTACTGGTTTTGATATTAACTGAAATTCTTCAAATAAGGAAAATACCCTGAGCCTGACTAGATGATTTACAGAGTAGTTAAAGTACAGATAAAGTGGTTTTTGCTGTGCCCAGCTCATCCATACTTGTAGCTATTAAGCACAGGAGAAGGTGGGTGTTTGTGAAGCAAGTCTCCTCAATCACATTGTTGTCACCATTAGGAAGAAATATGTGACAATACAGAGGCATCATAATGTAAGGTGATGTTTTTCTGGAATAAACATGTTCACACAAACCAAGGAATCATGTTGACACTGATCCCATTCTCTGCCTCTCAGAGGAAGTTTGAAAAAAATATCTTTCCATCTCAGCTTTCCCCAACCATTTACCTCTAAACTCCATGTATGCCTTTCTGCCCTACCAACAACAACAAAAAAAAAATCCATTATGTTGATATATTTCAACATTTCATGAAGGAACATAAACACTAAATTCAGGCTGCCTGATTTAAAATGCCAGCCCTCCCAGGAACTATCTGAAGGATTTGGGCTGAGTCTTTCAGCTTCATTAAATGGTGTTTCTTCAGTTGTAAGATAGAAATATTGATAGGAGTCATAGAACTCCTACTGCTGCTAACGATGATGAAATTATTTGTTAAGTGCTCGGCATAGCACTTAGCTCAAAAGAGATACCCAGTAACTCTAAGCTTCAAAGCAAGGACAAAAGCTTTGGAGCTAAAAAATAAAAGTTTCTTATTTACATGTTTTTCTTAAGTGAACAGTCATCACCTGCATGTGTCTGTGTGTCTGTCTGTGAGTGTGTGTAACTCTGCGTGCGTTAGTTTCTCTGAAACATGTACAGCTTTGCAAGGAGAATGTGTCAGTGACATGGGCTCCCACTGACCACTGCACTATTCTGTCTTTCTTGGGCTCCACCGAGTACAAGTTCACTCTTCTACTAAATTGCAGAGAACCATTTTCCAAAGCCATCTGTAAGTGTACCCTGATTTTGTCATGATTCTGATAGACCCCTAGCACAGAAAGGAAAACAAAGACATAAAATTGAGACCAAAAGATCAAATAAAAGACAAATGTTGGAGCCATTAGAAAGTATCCATTTGATGTTTTCTTTTTTCAGGGAAGAAAATAAGACCCACAGATAAAATAAGACCCACAGATATAATAAGACTGATCTCAAAACTACCCACACAAATGGACATAAAGCTGTAACTGGAAGCTTGTGGAAGAGGGGACAGTTTAGTAAAGCAAGAAAAGAGAAGAGCTGAAGGGAACATCAAGGTGTTCTTCCACACCAACCAGAGAGGAATAAAGAGAGACATTTGGGGTTTTATCATTCACAAAACATCTTCTGTAGAAAGTACTAGAAGTCTAGGGAGTGGAGAATAAAAAAGGCTCAACCAGGAGATCCAGGACTTTGTACCCTTATACTGTACTAACACTGCAGCTATAAGTATATGGTAGCAATGTTTGTTTGTTTGTTTATTTGGCAATTGGGTGATTGGGTAAAATGAGCCCCAAGATTGCTCCCACTTTAAGGCTCTGGCTTTGTTATCTGCATCTATGAGCTCCAGTGGTCACTGTGCAGAGACCTGAGCTCTGACTCCCATTGTGCTAGTCCATGGTTCGGTCTGGGTAGACAGGGAGGATGGGGGAAAGCATTGAGGTACCATGGCTGAATTTGAGAGAACAAAAACAACAGACATGGACTTGAAAAAAAAAAACTTTGTAGTGACAATGAAACAAAAATACTGTATTAATAATAAGCAGTAATACTATAAACCTGGCTAGGCCAGGTATTAGGAAAGACCTGACTGCCAAGCAATCAAAGGCCACTGGGGCATAATTGGGGGATACTGCGAAGTGAAGCATATGTTATTGTTAAAATGCATCAGCAGGAAAAAATGGTTGAGAACCATGGTCACAAGCTAGCTGTGATGGTTAATCATGAGTGTCAACTTGATTGGATAAGAGAAACCCAAAGAAGTGATTGGATTCTGCAGTAACTAATCTTGGCGTATTAACCTACTGATAAACTCATAGCTGAATGGGCTCTAGGAGGCGGGGCCTATTGGCAGGAAGTGGGACATAGGAACATACTCTTAAAAGCTGTATCTGGCCTGCCCTTTCTCTCTGGCTTTTCTCCACTCTCTGCTTCCTGGCTGCCATGAGGTAAGCAACTTTCTTCCACACGCCCTTCCACCATGACATTTCTGCCTTCGAGCCCAAAGACTATAGACTTTAACTTCTGAAGCCATGAACTGAGATAAACCTTTTATCCTTTAGGTTTTTTGCCCCAGTGACAGAAAGCAGTATGTTTTAAACTTGAGGTTCTCATTGAAATACCCAGCTTCAACATGGGGGGAAAAATGAATTCATGAACATTCAGGTTCTGCGTACAGCTCTGCATCCAAATATAAATTATATTTCAAGTAACCAAATTTTAATATGAGTTGTTTGAGTAGATTCAGACTTATTTTAAAACCCAGGCAAAACAAATTCTGTACATCTAAACTCAATAGAAATCTGACATTTGATTTTTAAGTCTTCACAGAAGCCATCAAGGGGTAGAGAGCCGATCAAGCCTGCTGTCCTAAGGATGGCTGCACATGGGCTGAGTAAGGATGTCTCTAAGGATGTCACAAAGGGGTTACTGGCCAGTGTGGGAAATTCAAATGCATCTGGAATCATCTGCAACTCTTTAAAGACGTAAAGACATTTTTTAAAAAACTTGTTGGCTTATTTTCCTAGCCATTTGTCCTACTAACTTGCAAATAACCTGTATGACTCTGTGTGTTTTCTTTCAGGGTCTTTGTTCCCTGATTTCAAGGCCTCAGACACAGTTTTTAAAATAGTATTTTGGCTCGGATACTTAAACAGCTGTATCAACCCCATCATATACCCATGCTCCAGTCAAGAGTTCAAAAAGGCCTTTCAGAATGTCTTGAGAATCCAGTGTCTCCGCAGAAAGCATTCTTCCAAGCACGCTCTGGGCTACACCCTGCATGCCCCCAGCCATGCCCTGGAGGGGCAACACAAAGACATGGTGCGCATCCCCGTGGGATCCGGAGAGACCTTCTATAAGATCTCCAAGACTGATGGGGTTTGTGAATGGAAATTTTTCTCTTCCATGCCCCACGGATCTGCCAGGATTACAGTGCCCAAGGACCAATCCACCTGCACCACTGCCCGAGTGAGAAGTAAAAGCTTTTTGCAGGTCTGCTGCTGTGTGGGGCCCTCAACCCCCAGCCTTGGAGAAAACCACCAAGTCCCAACCATCAAGATTCATACCATCTCCCTCAGTGAAAATGGGGAGGAAGTCTAGAGGATGGGGAAGGTCACAAGGAAAGGGGTGATCCTAAAGGCCTTCCCTCTTCCTACTCAAAAGACAGCGCACCTTTCTTGGAGAAAAAGACAGGAGCATTCAACAAGGGTACCATCTAGGGAGGGAATGGGCGGGAGGGAAGGCAAGGAGGAAGGAACAGGAAAAAGACTCAACGTCTCCCAACCAATAGGTTCAGAATGATTCAAGACCACACATCCCTGCACCTGATTCTCATTTGTTTCCTAACTCTGCTCTCCACAATTGGCACTTTCAATGAAAATTACTATGGGAAACAGAATTGCATACACAATCCAGAAGACTAAATATAGGGTTATGATTTCATCATGAGTATTTTGAGCATACACTCTAAGTTTGGAGCTCTGTCTTGATGGAAGTGAGGGGACTTTATTTTCAGGCTAAACCTACTAACAGCCACTGTTGACATTTATGGAGAGAGACCCTAAAGAGAATTGTGAGACAGTGGCTGATACCCAGGCACGTGACTGGCAAAATGAGTTTTAAAACCGCACTACTGCTGATACCTGCGGTGTCTCGGCTTGAGTAAAATACACAGTGAGATTCCCCTTTGGCTGCACTTTGATCGGATACTGTGCTTACCCCCAAAAGATGAGGGTAAGGGACACTCTTATTGCAGATGAGAAGGAGGCTCATGCTCCACCCTGAGAAAATGTTTTGGTCACCAGATAAGAACAACCACAATTGTATCCATATAAAGCTGGGGAATGGGGACCAGTTGGGGAGAGCGTGCTTTTCCCAAGAGATTGCAGTAGACATGAGGGTCATCTTTGCAAATTAACTGCTAGGGTCAAAAATCCTTTCAGCAGATCAGATGTGACAAGGCTTCTACTGTATCATCAGCAGGTTGGGGGTGCTAATTTCATGCTAAGCTAGCAGCTGCTGGATTACTCCACAGCCTTTTGGAAGTAGCCTCGAAAAGCCTTTCTTGACAAATTACCTGCCTTTTCCGCTGTGAAAACCCAGAGCTTATATTTCAAATGGCAAAATCATTGACTTCTATTTCTTGTCACCTGCTTCACTCCTGTGTCATGAATGAGGTTCACCTGCAGTACATTGGAATGATCCTTAAGACCCAGGGACAACCTTCCTGAACTTGGAAAGATGCCAGTGCTTAGTCTGGGACTCATACTGACTGATCACCAAAGAACTGCCCAAAGCAGGGATTTGGAAACATTTTTTTGACAGGGAAACATTTGTTCTAGCAAAAGCTCCCATAGCCCACTCAAATGTCATCCCTACTGCCTTCTATAAACAACTTGAACAACATTTCTTGCTCCATATCTGCCAAATTTTGATAAACCTTAATAACTCAGATTATTGCTAATGATGACAATGACAATAAAAATTAAAATACGTCCATTATCCCACCATGAGAATGTAAAATACGATTAGTGTTTTTGGAACAATTCCTGACAAGAATCATGGATCTAAAACTACTGGTAATTTCTGTGGTCCCTTCACTGTTCCTATAATTTCCTCCAGGAATTTCAAAGCAGGTTGGACATGCTGAGTAACCTTCCAGCAGGCATCACGGCCCAATCACCTCTCTTTCAGCAAATAATTATTTCCTTAAACCTTGCTAAAAGCAAGTCTCTTTCCACGTTGCCATGGAGGATATGTTTAAATGTGGGTGCAAAGTTTGTGAGTGGCTGTATTTGGTCTTTGAATGCGGCCTCAGCTTTCCAACAGTGTCTTATTGACAAGGTAAATAGATACTTAACCTCGGTGTAAGAACATGGATTCTGTCACTTAGAAGTTGCCTGGATTTTTCAGACATCTACCTGCATGCCCCCCACCAGCCCAAGCAGATGTGGGTGTCCTGTTTTAGAGGCAGACACTTAGGGAGAACTTGAATATGAAGGGATCCTGGTCCTCTGCCTTGGCAGGAAAAAGCTTCATTGCTGAGAAGAGCTTCTTTCAGATTCTGAATTTAAAAACCACCCTTGACCTTGGCGTCCCATTACAGAAAGAGCATCTTCCTGAGAAGAAGGGTCATAACTTCCCTTCCTCAAAATGTGATCCCATGTTAGACATGATCGTTAAACAACTTTAAGGGTGAATTTGCATTGTAGATATGGGAACTTTTGTGGGCCCTGGAGAGTTCATGTGAATGCCACTTGTAATCAAAACAAACAACTAGAAAACCTTTGAGTCATCAGATAAGAACCATGACAATTGTATCCCTGTAAATCTATCCATAAATCATTGCCTGGCGCACTTCCCCTACACACACACACACACACACACACACACACACACACACACCCTCTCTCTAGGGAGGTAAACTTTTAACATTGTTTCCCTTTCCCATAGCATGATATTGGGTATAAACATGCCAATTTCACCCCCCCAAAAATGGATGTTACCTGGAATTTGGTGGTAAAGTGAGATAAACAGTACACAAGTTGAGTTGCTTTTCACTCACCCACAAAAACATCTGTACTTTAAGCATGCCAAAAAATATCTAAAATTGTTACAGCTAAGCAAATGATTGTCATATTTATACTCCCCATGTTTACTGCTTCTATTTGGAGCTGGAGGAATTTACCCAGAGTAACAGCAGCTAAAATGTCTTCTCTGAAGTGTTACAAAAAGCTGTTGCTCGGGATTGCCTTAACATCACAAAAGTCAGTGACATTATGGGAGCAAAACTTGAGTTTATTCTGTAATGATTATATGCATTAGGAGGAGCCTTAAATCTCTTTATCCATAATTTTCCTCAAACACATAAGTGTTTCAGAATTCATTTTATTGATCACAGTTTTCTCCTCTCATATCTCATCCAGTTCTTCTTCTAGTGTAATTGCTTAATGTTTCCTAAATTTCCCAAAATATGAAGTCTCCTAGCTCTCTCATCATCTGCCTAGGTTGGCCTGTGCATGGCAGGCAGTCTCTTAAGCCTTCTTTGTTAAGAATCCTTGGCTCTAAATTCCTAGCAATTTTACTATTCCTATTTTAGAAATGAAAATCTGATGGTTGAGTTACTAAGCACTGGGCCAAGGGCATGGAGGATCTGATTTAGACCTGAATCTGCCCGGTTGTAAGCATTCTCCACAGCACCCAGCACCATACAGAATGAGAAGCAATGACCTGCCATTCAGATTAGGTGCATGAGGATGCCACACCATAGCCAACCCCAAAATGTTTTGTTTTGCTGTGATTTACCTACCAATGAACTTTGACAAATATGCTACCAAGTCTCCAATCCAGCCAAATCCAAGAGCAGGAAGGAGAGGCTGGTGTCTATCACACTAGCAGACTGTACTACTTTTCTAGAGGAAATTGCCTGGGATGTTGTAAGGCCGGGTAAGAAGGGCAATAATATCAAATTAAGAGATAATGGGCATATGAGAGAATGCAGAAGATGCCAGGCATAGTGGTGCCTGCCAGCAAGCAATTCCAGCACTTGGAAGACTGAGGCAGGAGGATCTTGAGTTTGAAGCCAGCTTGGACAACTCAACAACAGCCTCTGTAAAAAAAAAGAAATAGGATGGAAGGGAGCGGAGACAGAAGGAAAGGAAGGAAGGAAGGAAGGAAGGAAGGAAGGAAGGAAGGAAGGAAGGAAGGAAGGAAAGGAGAAAAGGGAGGGAGGGAGGGAGGGAGGGAGGGAGAGAGAGAAATGCAGAAGAACTTGTGTTGACCAAGAATTGCATGCACAGCGGTGGCAGGACATACACAGTGGTGGCCTAGAGTTATTCACTACCAGCCATGGGTAATTCGAACACTGAGGAAGTACACCCTTTTTTAAAATATGGACAGATACAGCATCATACTGTCTTACCTATATTCCAACTGTCTTTGTTGTTTGCCTTGAGAGAAAAGAAAGGATTGTGGGAGATGCAGAGAATGTGCCCAAATGTGTGAGTTTTGTGGATGCCACCATGAGAGAAGGGTTCAGCCTACTGACCTCCAGGTAGCGAGAGACCCAGGCCGTCACCCAGGTTGGCAGCTGCATTATGACCAGGAAACACACCCTTTCCTCTCTTAGGAAGCAGAGCTGCACATCCGAGCAGGTTGGCTCCCCGCCCCCCACCTTTGCAGCCTGCACCATCATGCAGCCCTGCTGTGCCTGGAGGCTTCTGAGTTTCAGCCGGGGAGCGAGGGCATCTTAGGAATCGTTTGCTTGTTCACCCTTTAATCACACAGCTACTTAATCAGCCTTGACAAACATTCTCCTTGCTTCTGGAAGGAGCTGCTCAGGTTCTCTTGTCAAAATAAATCTTCCATCCACACATGAATAGTTGTCAACTTAATCAAGGAAAGAGATTTGCTCTCCGCACAGGAAAAAACAAAAAGGTGGCCCCCGAGCAGGTGGAAAGCTAGTCTCCCAGCAGCAGCCAGGGTGACAGAAGAGAAGCCCCAGGTGGCAAATGCAGAGCCATCAGAGGTTACTTCCACATCTCTCTGGTCTTTTTACACTATCATGACTTTTAACCTTGAAACCAGCTGCACACAGCCCCAGCCGGGTGTCCCTGGGACACATTTGCTCCTGTCACCTCCACTGTGGAGCAGAGCTGAGTCCACCATCTTCCAAAAGCAATGGCAGTGGTGGCCACTGGCCCACCAATTGCCCATGAGAGGAGTGAGTGGAGATGACATTTTGGGACTGGGTAGCTGGCTAAGTCTCAGCAAGACACTGACCCCTTGCCCATGTGGCCATCAGCTTGATCTTGTTCACGCCCTCCAGACCTAAATGTCATGGAGGGGGGCGCTAAGAATGAGCCCTATCTGCTCTGTGCAGGAAAATGGCATTTCTTCATTACCACTGCAATGCGCATTATGGATTCTCCCACATAGAAGTCAGCTGCGAGGGTGTTGGAACCCTGGAGGAGGGGACATTTAGCATAAACAGGACTTGAAGCAGGGAGTCCTAGTGCTTCGCTGCAACTGATAAGCAATCGACCAGCCCAAAGCTGGTGATTTATTCATTTCAAAGATAAAATAATTACCTCTCCTTGTCACCAGGCTGGGGAGCTATTACATTACTCTGCCTCTGCATCCACGTAGACGCATTTGAAGCTGGAAATGATTATTACTAAATGATGAAAAGTACAGACTCAATTAGTTTTTTAAGAAATCCTGAGAGCCAAGGTATACTGTATTTAGAGAAAACCATGAAGCAGACACTGGCTTTCTAAACAGCCTGAACACAGTGAGTGCAGTTAAACAGGAAGAGAAGAAGATCCCAGCATGAGCTCTATGTTTACCCCTGGGAAACATTTCACACTTGTCACGGTAAGGTAATCTCACCTCCCTTGGGTCATTCTTGTGTGACGGATGAGAAGAAAGCACTTAGGATCTGTATGTGGCATAGAAGGGATGAGAGGTTGTTCAAAGATTTCCTTGAGACCCACCCCTCTTCCAGCTTCTGACTCCTTTTTCTTTGAGATCTCAGTGACCCCCTTTCCTGTCAGTCTCTTTCTTCTCCACCTTCTCTCCTGCTCTCTGTGCCAGCCACCGGCAGCCACCGGGCAGCACAGGGCTTCTTGGGGCCCAGTCCTTAACCATCGATGCTTCTTTCTGGCTGACAGATGGGCACATGAAACTCCTCACTCTCCCTTAACAGGCACACTTGGAGCCACAGAGCTGAGCAAAAGGGCAGGGCAGGAGGCTCCCAGGTTGCTCAGCAAGGTGAAATGTAAAGCAAAACCAAGAGCAACAGTCTCCTTAGGTCCCCAGAGGTCCCAGAGGGAGCTGCAGGAACTCTCGCAGGGAGCCTGTGAGCCCTCACGCATGCGCTGATTGTCAGCAGCAAACTACCTCTCCCGCACCCAGCACTGCCCTTGGCACAAAACCTGCAGTGAGGCACAGACAGTCCCTAGCTTATGAGCTGACGGGAGCCCAAGCTCATCTGTGTAGCAATCAAGAATGTTTTTCCGAGAGGCACTGTTCTAAATGCGGGAGGGGAAGGATGTTCGCAGATGAACCAAAAAATAAAATTCTATTTAATGTTCACCACGAGTTGCCAAACTTTTTCTGTACGTGGCTACAGAGTGAGTATTGTAAGGATTATGAGCTATAGGGTGCCTATCAGGCCTTTGTCTTTGTTCTTACTTTTTCGGGAAGAAAATGGACAATGTTTTTAAAATGTACAACCATTTTTAGCTTTTTAAAAAACAAAAGTTGTCAAATTAAGCCTCTGGACCACAACTTGCTGCGCATGACCCCCAATATCATCAGCTTCTGTGTAGGGCAGGTGGCGCTACAGAGGGGGCTTTTGGTGTTTGACATGTAAGCAGGCTAGGGATTTAGCTCAGCAGCATAAGCGCCTGCCTTGCAAGCCTGTCGTCGTGAGTTCGATCCCTGGTATCGGTAAAAATACAAAAAAAAAAAAAAAAGTTACTGATGTATCCTGACTAGGTTGAACCTCATCGAGCTAGATAAAGTGACATCACTCTTCAGGACCTTCTGAGCAGGTGTCAGCAGTGCAGGTGAGCACCTTCCACTCCCCACCTCAAGTTCCATGGGACAGGGAGTCAGCAGGTGCCCAGGTGAGTCCAAGGATCCCACCTGTCACCTGCTTGTCAGATGGGCTGTGACAATCTACCCAGCTCTGAGCTGCAGCAACAAGGAGACATTCCATGACCAAGAATTTGAGATCTCAGTGACCCAGGATCCCATTTCCTCCAGGAAATTCCAGGCCCTTGGAATTTGGAAGCAGCTGACATGGAGGTTCCAGAGCTTTTTGAGGTCACACTCACCTCCTTGGAGAGGACTTGTACCACAGTGCCCCTGTGCCAGGGCATCTGAGAGCAGCTTGGAACTCACGGAGCAGTCAGGAATATAAAGAGAGGGTGTCTTCCAAAGGACAGATGGGAGGATTTCATTCCTCCTTTTCTTCCTGTTTCTTCCTCCTTCTCCTATTTCCCTCTTCCGGTGAGTCTGAAGTCACCTAACTAGAATAGAAGTGCTAAGGGTAGTGTTTGGAGGGGTGGGGGCACACGTGGTCTCCCTGGAATACAGAAGCATATTTCCCTGAGCTGGTGCTTTGGGGGGGGTCCTCTTTCCCTTCTTCATTCATCCTGCTGGCAGTGAGGGAGAAGAAAATGATCCTGGCTGGAAATAAAGCTCAGTTCCCACTGAGCAGGGGACTCTGTGGCCAGGCTTTGCAGTGAGGCATGGGATGTAGTGGGAGCAGAACTGACCTGGAGGGAACTGGAAATACCAAAGCAACCCAGCAGCAACACAGATTCTTCCTTTGAGCACAAAAAGAGGGCTTGAGCAGCCTCTGCATGGAGCCCACTCATTGTAAGCAAGGCTGAGAGACCAGGTGCTCAGAAACTAGGAGACACCCAGGAATGCCCAAATAGTAGTGGAAGACCCTGAGGTCTCTAAAAAGTTATGGTAACACCTTAATTAGGGTGCAGAGCACAGTAGTAGGGGATTCCAGGCTGACAGCCGCCTCCAAGTATTCTAGAGACATGTGCACCTGGGGAAGTTGAGTCTTAGCAGACTATTGACTCTGAAGGCAAGATGAGAAAGGACAAGTGAGGGTCATAACCAGCGCAAGTACTGGTCCCAAGCCACACCTGTAGGTAATTAAGGCTGCCTGCCCCACACTGAGACTGGTATAGAAGCCATGATCCTGTGGGGAGTGTTCCTCTATTCTGTCTCATGGCCTAACAAAAAAGGTGGTCACACTGACCTTATATGACATGAAGTATGGACACCCTTTCCTGAAACCAGCCTCTTAATTCAGACCTTTTGAGACCCCTGAAGACCCCACTGCCCAGGTCTCTCCAGGGGACACAGTGCAGTGCTGCCATCTCCAGTGTGACCCTGAAGCACCTGGTCCTGTCCACCTTACTTCTCTTGCAAAATTCTATGCCATT